TTCTCTTTGCTTTGACGGCAATGTCCGTCAAAATTACATCGTCCGTCAAAACATCGTTCACTGCACGTTTCATTACAGTAGAGGCCGTAGTATAGGGGCGGGCACTCTGAAATTTCAGCATTTTATCATTGAAATGGTGTCTATTGTAATTTGTCAAATCACGACACGTTTTTGGACAATTTTAAAGGTGCATTTTAAAAATTAAGGTTAACAGCCTATTAATGAGAAAACAATTTAATGACTTTCAACTAGCTTTAGTTAAAGGGATTCTGACAACGACCACGGATGCCCTTTTAATAATCCTGGTCAAAATTATATGGAAAAAATTTAAAATTCTAAAATTTCTTGTTTGAAACTACGATTGTCTGTAAATTACAAAAGGTTCAAAAGTCAGCCGCTAGACTAATTCTAAAGGCAAAAAAACAACAAAAAAAAACGTGATCATGTCACACCACTACTTCATTCACTTCATTGGCTCCCTGTACAAGCACGGATTAACTACAAACTCTCTGTTCTCTGCCACAACTTTTTCTCCGATTCCTCCCCTTCCTATTTAAACGAACTTCTCTCTGTCTATTCACCCATTCGACATTTTCGCTCCTCCTCAGACGCGCGTATTCTTTCTTTCCCCAAGACTCGAACAAAGACTTTCAGTGAACGATCGTTCTCTTTATGTGGCCCAAAAACAAGGGAATTCTATTCCATTGCACATCCGTAATATACCGACCATCACAGCCTTCAAAACTGCCCTCAAACCACATATATTTAAACTCTATTATCCTCTCTGATTCCCACCTCTGACCGAAAAGAACGACGCTACTGTGTGTCGTCCATGGCTTAACATGTAAATAGTTTTAGATATAAATTTCTTTTGTTTTATTTCATTGATGTCAATTAATTTTTTAAAGTTTTTTTTATTATTATTATTTTCTTAAATTGCATGTACAGCGTTGTGAGCCAATCACTAGGCTGGGGTACCACGCTATCTATAAGTACTTATATAATAATAATAATAATAATAATAATAATAATAATAATAATAATAATAATAATAATAAACACAAATATTGAAAATATAAGCTTTTAACATTGTGTTGGTTTGTATCTTAAAAGCTTTCTTATTGGTACAATTATGTTTGGCTAATTAGATTTCATTACAGTATTATGTCGACTCTTCTAAAGGGTTAACTTAAAATCAAGTCACCTCCGTACATCTCGAGTTCACAAATCGTCAAGGAGCCAGATTTTAACAAAAACGATAGTTTAGAAACCGCGGCTTTCATGACAGGGATGTGAAAAGATTTCTCATCTGTTCTACCAGAAGTGTGATTACATACTGCTTTGTTGGCGGCATCCAGACACATTAAATGGAGGGTATAGGTCTCAGCGGTTGTCTCTGTTGAAACATGCAAGAAGAATCAGATAAGGGAAAATAATATTAATGCATTTTTTTTTCAAACGTACAAATAAAAATGGTTAGAATTCTCTTTTAAATCATCAACAAGCAAAATAAAGTTTGAACCAAAAAAAATAAAACACAAAAAGAAACACCATTACAGAGATATGAAATCACTACTTCTCTTCAGTTTAAGGTTTGACATTTTGAAATTAAGCATTTATAAAAAGTGTAACTTAAATAACGTTAATTCTCCGTTTGGTAGTAAAGCTTAAGTATGTTAGTTATCCCTTATCATATATCGATTTTATTGTTATTATTATTTTTTTTTAAAATTGTAAATACTTTGACATAACGAAATGCCTATTTTTTATCAGATGGTGGATTATAGTTAAAGTTGTGCCTTTTTTAATGTGTAACTCACTTGTGTGAACACTGATACCAGTTACAATCAGATTACTGTTCGTGATCAGCTCCAGGGGTTTATAGTTGCTGTTAAATGTAAAGCAGGAGTCTATGCCACTATTTCCATCAAAGATTGCTCTAAAGTTCTTAGGGGTATTATAGTTACACCGTTCGACTGCAGCTCCAAGTCCTACATTACGGCCTGTTAGATAAAAAAGACTATTACATATGTGTAACTAGTATATTAAATGATATGAGCATTTAAATGAACACTGTGCATTCACTTAACTATAATGTTACGTCAACTAAAAGCTGAAATACCCCCCCCCAAAAACAAAACAAAACAACAACATATATTTGTTTGATTGATTGATTGAATTGATATTTATATCGCGCTGATATCCATGCCACTCTAGCTTGCTCACTGCGCTCTGCTCCTCCGAACTCTATTTCAACAAAGATGTTTTTAATTGTTTCTTAAATGACTTTTTATCACTTACTATTCCCCTCAAAGATTGAGACAAACTATTCCATAATTTTGGCGCAAGAGCGCACTCCGTAAGACTTTTCCTGTGTTCATCCACACTAGGAACACTCAGTAGTGCTGTGTTGAAGACCGCAGGCTCTTCAAGGGTACATGTTTATACATCTGTTCCTTGAGATATTCCGGTGCTCAGCCATCTATGCAGCTGTACACCAGGGACAGAATTTTGTAGCTAATGCGCTCACTCACAGGAGCCCAATGGAGATCTCGTAGACCTCGGGTGATGTGGTCAGATTTTTTTCATCAGCCGATACAATGCATGCTGCAGTATTTTGTATCTTTTTGGAGTCTCTATATTTAGTTCTGTGGTAAACCCCACAAACAACTGGATTAGAGTTACTGCTACAGCATAGGCTGTTCTCCTATAAAGTTGAGGACGCAGCTGACCCAGGGCACGCAGATGACCTAAGCATGTCTTGACAACAGAACTGATATGGGGAATCATTCTAAGTTTACTGTAAATATAAAAGGCAAGGTCTCTGACAGTCGAGGACAGCAGGATCTCTAATTCACCAACTTTTATTGATGCAATGGTAACTTTTCTGAAGATTGGCGTCTGAACAACAAATAATTGGCTCAGTCCTATCACCATTTAATTTTAGTCTGTTTGAAGAGATCCAATCTTTCACAGCAAGACAGCAGTCCTCGACAGCCTGAACAGCAGTTGTTCGAATTGGATCTAATCCTCGAGCCTTCAACGAATGGGTCCATTAAGCACAAATTATTTTTTTTTAAAATTAAGATTTATTTTTCATTTAACGATTTCAGTTATAGAGTAGAATGGAAGTTGTAAGGAAAAAAAAACAACACAAAATATAGCCATGATCTAATGGCAGAACCTATCACTAATCAGATTTTCATTCAAAATTATAATCAACCTCAACCTTTTGATTTGCAGGGAAACAAGAACCTTAGTATATGAATGTTAGAAGGCTCAGCCTTGCTTTGAGAGGACATGTAAAGCGCAGCACTATGTGACTGGAGTGGATTAAGATCAATTTTCCCAAATTGAAATTGCAATAATCACAGATGAGTTTACGTGCAAATGAAAGAACGTGATTTACAAAAATTTGTGTAGACCGTTTAAGAAAACACCTACACAAAGTAAAAAAGAATCCAATGTCTACAAATGTCAATAGTGCTAAATATAATGGAATATTAGTCGTTGCAGTTCTTGCGATATAGCATGCGAATGATACACCTGATAGAAATGATATGAAAACATCTCTTTAAATGTTATCTAGAACCATACGGTTTAGACGAAATTTACAATTTTACATAGCTGCAAAGTGTACCTCTTACATATANTATATATATATATGTATATATATATATATATATAATATATTATATATATATTGCACTTCCAACCAATTGTGTCCGTTCTTATGATGTTTGGTTGCGTTAGGACTTTGTCAATGCTAATCAATTTTTTTTAGGTATAAAGGAAATACATCAATTACGTAAGCTTAATTCATACCATAGTAATGTTTTTGTAATGTTATAATGAAAACATTTGCAAAAATCTTTAATTTTGTACAATTTTTAAGTATTTGTAAACGATATATATTTTTGTATACAAATAATCGATCGGGCGTAATTAATTTATCTGACCTGCATGTAAAATCCCTTGAATGAAACCAGTTGGCAAAAGCGAAACATGGTTTAATAAAGCACAGTAATTGTTTGTATTATCAAAATGTGCATTATTTGTTATTTTAAGACATACTTAGGTATACAAAAATGAACACGGGAAATCAAAACACAGCACAAACGAAAGAAAGAAACCGAACACAAAAACATCTACACAAAACCAAGTGCACTCAATGACTCCAATTAGGTTCTCACCACCATTAACGTAAAGTGAACAGATTTGTCCGGTTCCTTTCCATTGTAACTTCACACTCTCCACAACGGTGTCTTCGGTGCAGAAGACATCAAAACTGTTGTCGGGCTTCTCGACAGTCCTCAGGGATTGGCAAGTCTCACTGAACACATTGCCATCGTCTAGCGCCATGAATTTTAAGGCTGTAATAGCTACCAGCGCTGAAAGTTTGAATACTTTACAATTAGCATTGCATTTTAATGAAATTTAATTGTGTGTGTGGTGTGTGTGTTTGTGTTGGAGTGGGAGTTGGTTGTTGGGTTATTAAGAAAGATGATATCGTTGCTCTAAACATAATTTATATTTATGGAAGCAGACATTGTGATGTTCATGCTTTGCCGCGTTGTCTACCACTTCTTTCAATTAATTTATCTTCTTCTTCTATATATTAAGGGCCAACGATCAGTCTATTGATCATTTTGGCTCCTGTGCATGTAGAGGGTATTTGCAATGTTTCTGCTCCTGGTGTTGATGATGATATATTAAACTGATTGCAAGTGGCAGTTTGTGAGGGAATCATGCACTGGTATATATTCTAATCAAATATGAATTTTTATTTATAGGTTTTATTTATGACATCAATATATTGAAAAAGTAAAAAAATGATTGTATTTTTGAAGAATTGGTATATACGTTATACAAGTATACGTATTGTATTAATGGGCATTTCAATAAATCAAAGAATCGATTTATTACAACCAAAATCAAAATATTGCCTAACTGATAAAGGTTTAGTAATTATTTTCTTCATTACCCGACTTATGGAAAACAACCCTGGCCCACGTGAATACCACCGGCCAATGAAATTTCACTTCAATATTTTTCTTTTCATTCTTGTAACACGTTGTGTCATTGTTGTCTTTCAGTAGTTCATTGAGTCCCATGGCCGTGCTTGCAATATTACCTGGAATGTTTGAGGTTAAATTTATTGACACGGGGCACCAATTTATGTGTGACACTGCTAACTTGAAAAAGGTATGAATATAAATACGTCAGACACACACAGACACACACACACTGATACTTAACAGAAGAATTGCTGATAAGAGTTTAAGAACACAAAACAAAACAAAAATGGATCGATTTTAGGCGACTATAATGAAATAAAGATCTCTCTTTAGGAACATTTGTCTCTGATGTGAAGCATCGTGACCAGCAGCACAACTTCCAGTTTAATGATATGTTTGATATTTACATTGATTTATTCCCGCTTTCATTTTAATGAATACAATTTTGTTTCATAATTTTGAAATTATGTAAGTGCATAAACTGTTCAACTTACGGTACTGACACGCCGGGCCAAACCAGCCTACGTCACAGTGGGAACCTTTAGTGCAGTAGCCGTTAACATCACAAGACTGGTTCTTGCAGTGACAAAGTATCTCACACTCTTTCCCAGTGTACCCTGTGGGGCAGCGCAACCCTTAAAAAACCATATTATGTTTATAAGAAGTAGAGTCCTTAAGCTGAAATTTTTTAAAGAACAAGACGTACACAAATAGTATTTATAAGCATTCAAACTCTAATTTCCATTTCATCATCTCTCTCTCTCTCTCTCTCTCTGTCTTTCTATTTCTCGCTTTTTTTCTCAACCTCTCTCTCTATATATATATCTCTATCTCTCTCCTTATCGCTTTCACTATCTATATATCTACCTCCCACTATTATTGTTATATCGATCTACATACAATAATTTTATTTATGTATAAACATAGTTTACCGAATAAAATATACCTTTTGTGCAACTATTTAAGGAAGCGTTCTGTCGACAATCCATCCATCCGTCAATCAATCCATTATAATAATAATAGTAATAATAATAGGAGGTCTTATATAGCGCCGTACCCCAAACTAGGGCTGGGCTCACCGCGATGTACAAAAACATTTTATCAAAAGAGACATAATCATGACATTAAAATAAAATACATTTATGAAATAAAGAACAGCAATGTATATTCACCCACCCCACCACATAACTTTTACACGGCAAACCATGGACGGCAGCAAACAAGATCGTTTATCGGTCAGAGGAGGGGAATCAGTCAGGGTAGTATAATTTAAAAAGATATGTTTTGAGTGCAGTTTGATTCGTGCATCAATCCGTCCACCTTTCCATCGATCGATCAATCCATCCATCCACCTATCTATCTATCTATCTATCTATCTATCTATCTATCTATCTATCTATCTATCTATCTATCTATCTATCTATCTATCTATCTATCTATCTATCTATCTATCTATCTATCTATCTATCTATCTATCTATCTATCTATCTATCTATCTATCTATCTATCTATCTATCTATCTATCTATCTATCTATCTATCTATCTGTCTATCTATCTATCTATCTATCTATCTATCTATCTATCTATCAATCTAGCTATCTATATATCTATATATCCATCTATATAAAATGTATCTATATTTTATAAAGTCCTCTCCCTCTCTATCACTCTCTAATTCTCACTCTCTCTTCCTCTGTCTCTTTATCTCTCTCCCTTTCCTTTTCAATCCACCTTTCCCTTAAACACAACACATATCTACACAATCTTGCACGTTCTCATTCTATCAAATAACACATAGAAATGCACACATTTGACTTTTTAAAATATATCTTTAACATGCTGATGGTTTCCATTTTTAAAAAAAAAGTAATTAAAACGACAAATAAATTCGGTGATTTATAAGAGGGTGTTTGAAACATCTCAGAGGAGGTATGTACCATCACAGAGGATGTATGTACCATCACAGAGGAGGTATGTACCATCACAGAGGAGGTATGTACCATCACAGAGGAGGTATGTACCATCACAGAGAATGTTTATATAACCCTTTTTCTTGAGGGCACGTTATTGACAAATCTGTACCAAAAGAGTGTTGCTACGTTTTTTTTAAATATTTTATATTCTGACTTAGTAAACTCCCAAACACTATATCATTCAAAATATCACCCTTTGCTTTGCTTGCATGTTTCATAAAGTATTAAATACAAAATAATAATAAGAAATTACAATTTTTTTATTTTATTTTTTTAATGGGAGATCTTATTAACATGTTTGTACATGAAATGTAGATAAGTGATGGAGAATAATGGCGTGTCCTATTGACATGTTTGTACATGAAATGTAGATACATGATTGAGAACAATGGTGTGTCCTATTAACATGTTTGTACATGAAATGTAGATAAGTGATGGAGAAAAATGGCGTGTCCTATTAACATGTTTGTACATGAAATGTAGATAAGTGATAGAGAAAAATGGCGTGTCCTATTATAATTTTTACCTTCCGAACAAGTCTTCCCCACCCTCCCTTCGTAGCATCTATGACACGTTCTATCTTGTGTGCAGGTCTGACCAAGACATGACATCGGGCAAGTAGCGCCACAGTCAGAGCCATATGATGGTGATGGGCAGTCTGTGGAGATGAAAGGAAGGTTATTTCTTTTTATGACTAAATTCGAACCTAGAAGAAAAGTCGAGCTTGTTTTTTCGGAAAAAAATAATAATTTTCAACCTGTTATTTTTTCCTTAAATATTTCTTATTATTATGGTTCTACTGTCTATTCTACAACTGGAGGATTTTCTCCACATTCAACACAATTTGGAATTGGTATTTTTTTAAAAAAATTTTTTTTTATATTTCTGCGTCAGAGACAATTGTGCTTCTCAAAATGTTGAGAGCAGTTGAAAAACAAATCCGTATGTCATTTCAAGTGAGGCTGATGTGCACTTTATATCCTTGCAAATTTTATAATGACTTTTTTGTAAAAGAACATAACCTGACCCTTACATAGAATAAATATATTGTTTAAATATACATATATATATATATATAATTTAAAAGCCCGACATGTGTAGGACATAACTTAAAATGAAATTTATAATGACCACAACTTTCTAGGCCTTCTTTAATTTTCTGTGATATCTACCTTACAATTATATTAAGAAAATACAGACTTTAAATAAAAATTGCATCACAATGTGTCCTACATCAAAAAAAAAGAATTTTAGAGAAAATCAGCTATAGCTAAAAGACCATTGTGATCATCTAGTAAAAATTACAATGCCATAAGCACCCGATTCAAACAAATCCTACACACCAAATTTTAGTAAATATAATAATTGTAAGCAATCGATTTTAAATTTAATTTAAACCCATTTAGTTTGTGGGAGAGAATCAACCAGAAGTAAAAAAAAAAATGTCATTAAAAAATAACAGTAATATTTTAATTGCGTTTCTTCCTTCTGAAGACAAATCTGCAAGACCCATGTGGGACTATCAAAGAGATTTTAGGAATTTAAATTGCATTATTTATAGTCATTAGTAAAACAAAAATAATCTACGTTTTTTATATTTTAATATTAGCCGAAAAGTTTAATTAATTGTCATAAACCTTTGAATGCATTTCTTGTAAAAGGTAACAAATCAGAAATGAAAAAATATTACCCCCAAATATTTGAATCTCACAAAGTTCCAATTGACCTTCTAAGATGTCCAGTTGGACCCTCGCAGTGATCGGTTTTGATGCGAATGCTATATGTATAGTTTCTCTGTTAGCGGTGCTAACATTAAACATAAGTGAGTCTCGCGAATCAAATCCCTTCATTCGGAGAGTAAAGTTTTCTGTTTGGTCTTTGTCTGTTAAGGAAACAAGTTAGATGATTTGTTGACATGTCTTAAGGTGACAGCTACACTACATTCTGCTAGTACCTATAACACTGTTGCGATTGTTCACTGCAATAAGATAAGTCAGTGTTAGAGTATATGTTGCCGAAACCGATCGACGATTAGATCAGTCTTATGATAGGCAGCACTGTAAGGAATGTTGATGCAATGATTTCGACTTTGGTGAGTTCTTTAATGTTTGTTTTGTTTTTCGTTGAATAAATACACATTTAAAAAAAAAATACTTAATATATATAATGGAGGATGAGATAAGTGGGAGGATAGGGAAGGCCGTAACTGTTATGGCCAGACTGAAGAAAAGAGTCTGGTCAAACGCCAAACTAACAACACGAACTAAGCTGCTGGTGTACCAGGATTTCGTAATGAGCACACTTCTGTATGGATGCGAGTCGTGGACCACATACTCTAAACACGAAAGAAGGCTCAATGGCTTCCACCTCAGATGCCTGCGCCACATCCTTGACATTAAATGGCAAGACAAAGTCCCCAACACGGATGTCCTGTCCCAAACAAACATGTGTAGCGTCCTAGCCATGTTAATCCAAAGACGCCTCCGCAGGCTTGGACACGTCAAGGGAATCCAATCTGGTCGCATACCAAAGGACGTGCTATACAGCGAGCTGACGACCGGGAAAAGGTCAGGTGGACGGCCTCGTCTGAGATACTTAGACATATGCAAAAGAGACATGAAGTCTTCTAACATCGATATCTCAAACTGGGAGGAGCTGGCAGAGGATCGATCCTCATGGCGGGGCATCGTGAAGCCAGGATCACTACATGCCGAGGATCAAAACAAGGCGGAAACAGCTGCATAAAGAACGAGGAGAAAGGCCGGTAAATACTGCTCCACCGCATTCGTGTGTGGAAAATGTAACAGAGACTGTCATTTGAGGATTGGTCTCACCAGCCACGCCAAGAGCTGCAAGCAATAAAGATAATCTATCGTCTCCCGCAAACGGAAAGATGCCATACATACATATATATATATATATATATATATATATATATATATATATATAAAAGTAAGTATGACAGTTAGTTTATCTAACTCTATCTACGCTATTTTGGTACGTGTGTGTCAATATGTTATCTGATATGTTAAACTCTTAAATTGAGGATTGGTCTCACCAGCCACGCAAAGAGCTGCAAGAAATAAAGATAATCTATCGTCTCCCGCAAACGGAAAGATGCCATACATACATATATATATATATATATATATATATATATATATATATATATTAAAGTAAGTATGGCAGTTAGTTTACCTAACCCTATCTACGCTATTGTGGTACGTGTGTCGCAATAAGTTATCTGAAATGTTAAACACTTAACCATTTAAAAATTAGTAACGTGACGATTTGCATATCTTTAAGGAAGGCAATGTGTATTTAATCTACCGCAACCCAGGCCTCAATTTATGAATGTTATAAACAATATATGAACGGGCACACGAAGTGAATTGATGATTATTTCTACTTACGAGATTGAATTTTCAGTAGTGTGATGGGGCGCTCAAGTCTCAAAGTGATCAATATAGTTTTTAAAGACTCTTGACTTAAAATGAGACACATGTCGTGGTTAGGCACTCCATCATTTAATAATTTAATGAGATTCATCAACGTGACGCGGTTCACAGGCAGGTCGGGTACTTGTATAGACGACTTCTGTGCAAACTCGCGTCCTGAAAATTGATATATTTCAGAATATAAAATTATTTAGC